TATATGCTCTCATTTGACTTCTTCATATACTCTTACCGAACTCCTTATCTTTATAAATTTTTGATGTTATATGGATGCACTCTAATCTTAAAGGGTATTTGTGTTGCTTTTACTTTTGAAAAGAGTTTTCAGCATTTGAAAATCTTATTTAACACAAACTCTAATTGATCTTAGATTACTTTCATATAACATACGATTACTAATCAACAGCGAAGATTTTGCTAGTACTGAGTGTCCTAGTTCTTAATTGCTTCGTTCAGCTTTTTTCTCTCGATATTTTTTTGTAGCGTATAACATGCTTTTTGCCTTGTAAGAGTCTTTTTTTTACATTTAATCACCATTTATACTTACTTTAACGTTTTCAATAAATACTTTAAATGAAAATGCAACAAAGTTTTGTAAATTTATCGAGATGATTGTTTTCCAAGCTACTAAAAAAGTGGAATACTGCAAAATTTTAACTTCATGTGTTTTATCAATCTCATCAAGAATGGTATCACTACATCTTATACCTATGAAAAAGAGATTTGGTGTTTCGTCTTTGTCTGATGGCGAACAAAAGGACGTAACAAAAGTTATCCAACATTCGTTTTTCTTTTTCAAATATCGCTGCTAAAAAAATAAACAACTCTAAACTTTCTGTTACAAGATACAACACTTGATTTACGCAGGCTATCTTAGGCCAGAGTTCGAGTATTTCATGAATGAATTTGCCATCAAGTTTCCTCCAATCTACCTCAACTGATTAGCAGAGTAGATACCAAATTCGAGTTCGAATATAAATGAAATTTTCCAAAACAAATAAGGATCATAGTAGGCAGAAACAAAAAAAACATTATTTCCATTATAAGTTTCAATTGAGATATCGGGTCAGTCCTTTCATTAAGTTGTTATTTTGCTTGTGTACGAGTCATAACAGGTGCAACGATTTGTTTATTCATATAATTATCAATTTGTGTTGATCTGGATTTTGTTGGAGTATATTCGTTTTCATTATTGGTTCCATTATCTATTGGTGAACATAATAAATAACCAGCTACTGTATTGTGTTTTCTTTAATATATCGAATCCCAAATTGATACTGTTATAATTTTAAACACCATCGTGCACATTTCGAATTTAATTGTTATTTTAAGTTGAATAGTAATAATGGTTTATGATCTGTTTCAATGATGAATTAACGTCCATCTAAATATTAATAGCACTTTTCGATTGCACATATAACAGCATAATATTCTTGTTCTGTTGCAGGCCAATTCATTTATGTTGGTGTATATTTCTTTGATAAATTAGTAACTGGAAGATCATCGTTTGGATGAGTTTGCATAAGTACAGCTCCAATTCTAATTTTTGATTCAACGGTTTGTATCATAAATGGTAAATGTTAATGAGGAATACGTAACACTAAGTCGTTGGTTAATATTCGTTTTCATTCATTAAATACATGAAGCTTATCATTCGATAACGTAATAGATGCAGCTTGTGATTTTTGAGATCGCTGTTCTTTTGTATTAGGTGAATATTTATATAATGATTGTGCAATAGTAGAAAATCCTGGTATAAGTTTGCAATAATATTCGGCTGCTTTGACGAATCGAAAAGCCTCTTTTCCTGTTGTCGGCTGTTGAGTTTCTAGTAATGCACGAATGTTGTCTGTATTTAGTCTAATATTGCTGTGTTCAATGTGGTGACCAAGATAATCAATCGATGTTTTTTCTATTTGACATTTATTAATATTAAGACGAAAATTTGCATCATTTAATCGATTAAGAATATTATCGAGGTGAATTAGATGTTGGTCAAATGTTGGCGAATATATTATAGCATCATCGAGATATGCTAATGAATATTGTCATCTTGTAGGTCCT